ATTCTACTCTATCTGTGCTGACACAAACATATTGCAACAGACTGAGACCATGAATGCTTGAGGTATCTTACGAGGCAAGTCAGTGTAATGCCATAATAAAGCTAAAAGAATACTTACTAAAAAAAATTAATCAAAAGTCATCCTTTCATTGTATGTATAATTTTAAATGTTATGGTTAACAAGAGCATTTTTTAATAAAATATCTTTCAAAAATATCTTTTAAATCCTGTTTTGTCCATTACTATGCAAGAACTGGTACTTAAAACCCAGAACCTTTGCTGTACATGACACTGGACCTAAGTCTTCAGGTGACCTATATGACAGGACCTGATGAAATATTTTATTGAGCATAGAATTCTGCCCATCTACTGGATTTTTGTACTCTGTGGAGACAGTCCAAGTGTATACTGAAATCTGTTTGCACTAATTGACAGAGCAAATTACTTTTGGAACTGTATTTCCAAAGGACCTCTGAATTTATTCCTTCAATTTTACACGCATGGGCTTCCATACCTTTGTGAATTTAATGTTTGTGTTCATCACTTTGACATTTCCTAGCATTTGAAGAACCATCTCAAAGACCATTCTTGCACATGTGATGTTCGAACAGTTTAGCAGGACAGATTTTAGAAAAGACATTTACACCAGCACAATTAGCCATACTGCTGTCTTCATCTTACTTTCAAGTACTGTAATCAAAATTTTAACACGGAATTTTCTTATTTTTTTAGAAGAGAGGCTGAATTGCAGACATAAAACTATTAAAAAAAAAAAAGGGGAGAAAACAAAAATCTGACTCATTTTCTATGCTTAGTTTCTTTTCTTTAGAGGACTAAAAGCCTGAAAAGCTTTTGAAAATAAACCTAAACTGAGTTCTTTAGTAAAGTCTCTCTGATATATAGGGTTCTGAACTCACACTACTCAGAAAAAACACAGACAATTCATTAATAGTGAGGACAGAAATACAAATAAATTTACTTTTAATGAAGACTGAAGACACAGTAATCAAAGTGTTAAAAATTCATTTCATGCACATTTCATTTGCCTCTTAGCTGATATTTATCACGTAACTCTGTGAGAAAGTGGAGGCCTAAGATGCTCCAGATAAATGTCTCAATTAATTGTACAGAGGTAGCCCTCTTTGAGCTGAACCAGAGCTGTGAGCTCTTTATTAAAAGCACTATTCTGTAGCCTGTAACCTTGTTCCTTGACTCCTCTCTAGTTTCCAATTTAAACAAGTCCCCATGCGGCCCACTCTAAAGGGCTTTGTCTCCCTGTCATTGTTATGAGAGCCAAGGCATCCTGGAAGTGTGAAATCAGACCTCATGAGCTGAACGGTTCCCCAGGGAACACAAGACCTCGCAGAAGGTCAAAGTCATGGGCTGGACCATCTGAAAGCGTCTGATCACTGGTCTGTGACACAGCAAGAAGGGTGGGGGCAGGGGAAGAAGGGAGCCAGGGGGCTAGAATTGAACACGTCTTAATTAAAGCCCAAAGACTACAAAACAAGCTATTTTCTAGTCAGGCCATCTTATGGAGCTTGAGTTCTGTCTGCTAATGAATCTGAGCTGCTAACTATTATTCCTTAAAAGCACAGCACTTTTGCTGAAATCGATCAAACCTATGGGACATCTTTTCCCACTCAGACCACTTTTTATCAATGATAAGGCAGAGATTTTGAATTTTATTTCATGACATAAGGAAAAGGAGCAATGCATCTGCCCCAGTAAAAGAGATGCAGACACTGCCTTGCAAAATCAGCAGCCTTCCCACAACCACCTACATATACCTGACTACACTGCAGAAATAATAGATATATCTGACTATTTCTTAACCTTAAACTATGTCACATGAAGGGCTTATTGCTTAAATACCTGTAGTTTATATGGGTTAGGTTAAACCCATACGTATAACGTCAGAAGCCAACTGTCATGATGAGTCCATTATACTTTAGGTTTTACCATACCGCCAGAAAGTATCTTCATATCAAAGGATGTCACTGTAGGCAAAGCACCTATCCTGCCAGGGCTCTACAAGCAGCCAGATCCTTGAGAAAGTCTGCCAGAGATACCATGAGCAAGCAAAGATTTAGCGAAACAGGAATAGAACTCTCTCTAGCTCAGGATTTAAGGAGAAAAAAGCCATGCACTAAGTATCTAAAACACAATTTAATAGCAAGTTTTTTCTCAGATAGAAAAGGAAAAAGTAAACTTCATTCTCAGTATCTTCCCATTAATTAGATTATGCTTTCAAAGAATTTATACTAAATAATACATAATTTCCAGAAAGTTGTATTTGCTGTAACCAACAGCAATTTCCAACAGAATTTTGCAATGATGAAATCCCTAAAATTGTGTGTTGATCATGGAACTACACTGTTTTTCTGGGGGAAACAACCTCAGAGACCCAATAATTTTCCCAAAGGCCCTGTTCCTGAAAGATACCCTATTTTTCAGCTCTCCCAAAAACCAAGTTAAGCTTTCAAGCACCTGTGGGGAGTCTCTCAACCTCTCAGTGGTTCTTCCTCTCATATATCTCCTGGCAAGTGGGTTGAGTGAGAAGACTGACTGTACTTTTCTGGGGTATTTTTAATATCCAGTTGTGGCATGTTCCAGCAGCAAATCATTTCAAAACTGGTAATGTCTACTTGCTCCCCTGCCTACAACCTAACTGAAAATTCAGCTCATCCTGGCACATTATTCATTGCCTGTACATGTAAGCTGAGACCCAAAACACCACACTTAATCACTCTCTTTTTTAAAAAAAATCTGTACTAACCTTAAGGATGTAAGCACACTGTCTAACATTAGGTTATTGAAAGTGGAGAAAAATAACTGTCCTTGGATATCAACAGTTCACTAGAGGCTTAACTAAAGTGACCTACTGTAGTAGCATTCTGCTGAGGGAGGCTATGAGCTTTCTGAGGAAAGAGTAGAATTGAGGGTTTCATTAAAAAGTAATTTTCATTCAACAGGAGTCTCAGCCACTCTTCATTCTCACATAGTGCAGTATTACAATGCTGTTCAACGTATGGCACAAAAGAAAACTTCCATGTTTTGAAAGGGAAAAAAATCCTTGTAATGGTAGTAGGATTGATGACTACTTAAAAGATTACAGAAATCTTTTTCCCTCTGTGCTTATGTTTAATGATGGAATATTAAGGATTTAAAAAAATCTACTCAGCTCAAACTAATAAATTTTGATTTATTACTTCACATGGAAAGATTCCTGGAAGTGAAATGGGACACGTTTAGCAGACAGGAAGCACAGTAAAACACACAGAAACTATACAGTTGTTCTAGCTACTTTTCAGACTCAGGGGCAAAAGATAAACTCTGAAAACACTATACAGTGAGATGAGCAAACTAGTCCTTAGATTTTATTCCTAAAAGCAATTCTTAGTGGTGTAAGTAACACCACTGATGACAGCACTCTCCACACTAAATACCTAGTTGAATAAAGGTGGGTCAAGTTTTTACACAGGTTTTGCAAACATGATTTATTGACAATCACCAATCACCTACTTTATTTCTCACTATTACTATTCAAAGTTTAATTTTAAATGAATGACCTATACATAACTACAAGTTACTAAAAACAGCTACAAACTACAACAGTAGGTAATAAAACCACTTCATCTTCTTTTCAAAATACCCAGTTACTTTTGTCCAGAATATACAAGATTTCTGTCACATCTGGAATGTGTAGCCATCTTAGAAAATACACTTGCTGCATAAACACTTTTTCTTACTAACAAGGGAAGGTACTGAATGTTCTTCCCTATCTTCCTGTCTGTCATTCAAAACACAATATCTGAAAATTTTTAGTAGTTCTATACATCTTTAATTGAATAAAATATTTTTAAAAAAAAAATTGTTCAACAAGCACAAATAACATGTTGATTTGAAAAAGTCAAAGACTGAACGAGGTCAGGGACTGAATTATTCCATTTGCCCCTGAATAACTTAATCTCTTTCTCTGTTCAGACAACATTGGATTATAAGGTCAAACCAGACGGAGAGATCTTTAGAAGCATTTCTACAAGCTCACCAAAAATAGAATCTGTTATTTTGTGTGCCATAAACTAGATGATCAGTTTCAGCAATAAAATGTTTGCACTATTACCTTGCCTGAAATATTGGTAGTCATGTTAATTATCAAAAAACTACTAAAAAATCGAGTAAGTTGCTCTATATCTGCTCCTTTAACAGAACATTTATTCTAGTTGCCTTTTACTTTCTTCCATTTTTTAAAATTTTCATCACTACTTTAAAGCAGAAATGGCTATTTTCTGACACAGATGGAGCTCATTTTGCTCCATTCAACTCATGCAGAATGAAGGTTATTGTACTTAGAGGAGATAACTTGGACACTTCTGGAAAAATATGGTCAGTATGTCAGTAAAAAAAACCCTTTTCTTTATTTTGCAAAGCAACATGTCAAATTAACCATTCAACTTATAACATAAAATGGAAAACTAAAAAAAAATCTTATTTCCCTTATCTTATAAAGATAAGCAGTAGCTGCAGCAAACTATATTCAGTTGAAATGTCTGAAACCGACAGCAGCCTTGCTAGATGTCTGACAGATATCAAGTGATTCTTTAGACAACAACTTTAAAGAAATATCTAAGTCTGGAACCTTTTATTTGCCTTGTCCCTTGGAATTGAACGTTGGTAATTTTGTATAGTTTCATCTACTAAAATAAAAGAACTTTCTTTTACGTAATTTTTATAGAACGTCTGATGGAGAAAAATGTATATTTCACCTTTATCAGAAATATCCTACACAGGGCTCTGCTAGCACTAAAATGACTTGCTGCCTTGCTTACAAAACTTTCATTTGTGTTTAGATTTTTTCATTATTGAGCAGAAGGTGAAAGTGCACAAACAGAACATAACCTGTAGAAGAACTTTTGTTTCAAACATTTTTTCCCCAGTTCTAAAACCACCAAATCTTACTATGGTATTCAGTGTCACAGAAACTAAATGAATCCTTACCTGTGACATCAGCTGCCATCAATGCTTCTGCCCTGATGACCTTCACCTGAAGAAATCCCACATCGCTGATGTTATGGAACATCATCATTGGACTCTAAAAAAATAATAAAAAGAAAAATAATTCTGGATTGCAAAAGAGAAAAACCAAAATCGATATTTAAACTCTTCTCTCTAGCCCAGATGTAAGTTACTGTAATTCTACCTACATACTCAGACTTTTAAACATTATTTGCTGAAGAATGTGCAGTCATTTGCACTTCTTCCTATATTTTGCAACCTTAACTTATGAATGAAAATTACAAAGAAAAAGTTAGAATCTGATTGATTAAATGTAACACTAATTCTAGTGAATTAATCTCCTATGTGGGAATAACAGTACTTCAAAATTTGAAATTATACCAGTATATTAAGAAATTAACAAAAAAATGAAACAACTCCTCTCCCTGAATTATTTTGCAAGATCCGTGTTCACATTTTCCCTCTGATGGCTCCAATATTATCTTGAGCAGTGACCTAGGGCCAATATAGATTTTTGTAGCTGATTATTACATGCAAGCTTACATACACCATATACACCTATATAAGCCTGTGAATAACATCAGCAAAAGCAATCAAAAGAGGATAACAACTACTTAATAACTTAATAATAATCACGTGCAGAAAGGATAAAAAATAATTAGAATATGTTTCAAATTCCATGGCAGAAAGCTCTTACCATAAATCATTATTTTTTTTAACATAAATTTCTTCAATATCTACATTCATCAAGAAGAGGAAGAAAAAACAGTTCACTACACTAACACTTGCATTTATTCATCCAACAAAGATTTAGAAAGCTTATTAAAAACCATGTTTCATTGCTGCTGTTTTTTCAAGTAACTAAAACTAACAAACTGGGAGTACTGCACCAATTAGGTTCGACATGCTATAATTATCAAACTCTAGCTTTTGGTATTATTTAAAATTTGCAGAGTTTTAAATGATTAAATATTGAATGCAGCTTTGAATCTGGAATCAATTAACAACTAGCCTGGCTTTATTGTTCAGTTCTTAGATAACCTAGGGAAGGAACTCCAAAAGAATAAAATAAAATTAGATTTGCAAATCTATACATGTGGTCACATTTTTGGTTGGTTTTGCAAATTTTGCTCATAAATACTAGCCCATTCCTTTATTTTGAAATATTTTAAAATCTGGACTAATGTATTCAATGTCTATTGTCTTCTCTAAAATTGTAATGTGGTGATACTTTTTCTACTGCTATGACAATGTCCAGATTTCTACAAAAAGCAAGCATCAGAAAAATATCACATCAACAATTTCTTAATTTATTACAAAAGAAAAATTTACTTTTATGGAAAACGAGAATAAATTACATCACTGAATCTAAAAATCACAGCTGCTTAAATGAAATATTAAATGGCAGCTTGCAAAAACAGTATGCTTTTGCACAGAAAATCTATCCATTAAGATGTTAGACATATAATATGCATCCCTGTCTTTCTCTAAATAAGACAATGCTAACAGTTAAATCACACTGATACTAATTTCACATGCCCCAGCTGACCATATACTGTTTACAGTGAAGATTTGATGGTGCTACACTGAACTTAAAAATACAATTAAGTGTAGTAACCCATATGTTACATATATGCATCATGTTACAAAGGGGTAACAGTGAATAAATTTTTACCAATTTTAGTAAGATAATCGTCATAAATATGACTTCTAAATATTGATGATCAACTTTAATCAGCATACACTCAACCTCTTGTTTATGTGTTTACAACCTGAGGGTAGTAGAGATGGTATTACAGATAGCACTGGTATAATTCAAAAGCGCCTTGGCACCCCTCTTTTATTACAATGATGACCAGGGTTTGGAAGTTTCTTATCAGAACTGGTACCAGAACACAGATAATTCTGTTGTAATACACATGATGAAAATGACAGGACTTACAAAAATGTTTGTACATTTTACCTGTGTTTTCCAACAACCAAAATAGAAACCAAGCTGTAGAAATAAAACAAAGCAAAAACTCAAGCAAGACAAGCTACAGCACCGGTTTCTTATGATGCCATACAGTCCCCTGTTTCCAAATTTCATCCTGGTTAGCTCACTCTTCAAAGGGTGCCAGTGCTGTATTTTGCTTTGCCATGTTTGTTAGAATCACACAGAATTTTTGAACTTTTATTTCCAAAATATATCTGGCTTAGATTCATCTACTGAATATACTGACTGGGGAGACTGACAAAAATGAATACAATGCCATAACAGAGGCTCTTGGAGAAGCAAATTACTTTAACACATTACTTTAAGTACGTAACTTTAAGTAATGATTTATCAGATGATATTCTGTCTTCTTACTTATGATTATTGCTGAAGGTATCAAAAATCCACGTAGTTTCTGAAGCCCAGAATTTCTATAGCAGAGGAATCTGTGATTTGCTGGGAATCTTTTCAGCCCTCAATAGATGGGAAAAGATTGAAACGCTCTGGAGATGAGTCTTCTTTATTTTTTTAATGAAAGGCTGTATAATATATTTTCTGTATGGCTGCAGCAGCTGTCAGGAAGAGCATCTCAGTTCAGCTCTATTATGGGAGAAGCAATACCCCATCCCATGGCATTGAGATACACTGAGGGGCTAGTACTGATTGACAGCTTGTCACCATGACGTCTTATTCCATCTCTGTTATGGAGAAAATTAATGTCACACCACCAGCCTTATGACTCGCTGTCATCTTAGAACTGCTCACCTTTTATCAATGCTCTAAATAACATTTCAAGCCCATCGTCTCACAGTGGACAATCTGGTCAAGGGACATTAAATCGGATGACTGTGAAATGTCATAATAAAAATGGAACGCTAACAACTTCTCTAAACTAGCTTCTCTGGTTTTTAAACTGTGACAAGGGGGACCATGAGTTCAGCACACCAGTTCTGAAAAGGTCATACAATCTCTCTTGGTCTGTACCCATTAATGTGCCCCCCTTCTCACCCCAAAAGGAATTAATCTTTTCAGACAATTGTGGTAAAATAATGGTTCAAACAGTAATGCCTGTTTAATTTGTAAGGCTCTGATATTCAGCTACAAATGGTTAAGTGACAGTAATAGAGTCATTTTCTAAGGCTATTTGATCTGACGGCAAGGTCAGCTCATTAACTGTTTTTGGCGGTAGAAAGTGTGCAAAATACATTTCTCAAATGGAAGCCAGATTTTTTTAGGGGGAAATAAACCCAAAAATACAGCCACTCAACACGGAACTCTATATCTTGCTAATTGCAATTGTGTTGTCTTTGTATTAGTTCTGAAGTTCAGATATGAATACCAATGTCAAATTGAACATTAGTGAAAATAAACTATTTGAATTAAGTTAATCCTGGTAATTTCTTTCTTCTGCTGGTAATTTTAATAAAAACAGTAGAATTTATCAAAAAAGTATGTAAATGCCACAATTTTCAGAAACACATAATGAGAAATTCATACCTCTGCTGTATTAATATCTTCCTAAAATGTGAACGTTTTCAAATGCATACACTGATGTAAATATATGAACAGACAGATATCCTTGTACTTGTAAGAAACAGGAATAAACCAGATCAATCCTATGCCACATAATTATGCTTTACACTGGGGACAAAAAATTGAGGATTTAGGAAAAATGACTAACAGTATATTGTAACATGTTTCTGTACTGCTACTGAAATATTCAAAACCATCAGTTTTACTTGTCTGCCATATCATCACACAAAATAAGCCACATGAAATATAACAGAAATATGTTACTGTTGCTGTTGGTAGCAGGAACTATGGCATCTCAAAAACATATCCATCAAAAAAACTATTCTTATAGACTTTTAGACATCTATTTTGACAACCACAGACTGTCTCGGTGGATTCCAAAATGTGCAGTAACTCCCTTAATTGTAATTATTTTTCAGAGATGGTGGACAAAACCTTAGCCTTCTGTTCATTTTAGAATATTATATTTAGCCTCACTAAGTCACCTCTATTAAATTGTTTTTATGATAACACTATTGGTGTATGAGTTGTACAAGCATTAGCAGACAGCTGATTCAGTGGAGATAGACAGAATAAATTTGCTGAAGCACACATCCTGCTAATCTGCTTGAAGAATATTGTACAGCATTAGTACTAGGACTTCATGTTATCTGCACAGCCTGATAAGGTACATCTTTATTAAATTCAGTTATTGAAAGGATGTCCGTCATAGAATAGGAATATTTTAAAATCTTAAAAATAAATTAAATAGCCTCTTTGATAGTCAGAGCTTGGTTTAATGGCTGAGTGTCTAGAGAAGCCCTTCTAAACACCTGGCAGCATTGTACAATAAAAGCTTTGTAATTGCAAGTGGAAATAGCATTTTTTTCTTTCTTTCTTCTTGTATAGTGAGACAGTTACTTTTAGTGATTTAGCTGTTAGCAAATGCTGGAGTAAGAGCTCCCCTCTCTGTTGCTTTGATAAAACTACAGAGATTCTGTGCAATGTGAGGAAGCTGGGAAATTAAAATAATCTACTTTACAATATTTTAAAATTGAAACATTTTGGAAATAGTTATTTTGATGTGCTTCAGCCTCTAATATGAACACAAAAATAAGTTTTCTTGCTTTTAACAGATGATCCAAAAAAAAGCTGAAAACCATTTGCACCTGAAATTATTTGACATAAACATTGTCGGTTGCTGAATTATTCCTTAGTCACTTTGTGCTTGGTAAAAACTATCTAAAAGGCAGTAAAATTACCTTCATTATGCAACACCCTAGCAAACAATTCAAATACCATTTAAAAAAACCGTTATTGTATGAAGAGCATTTGTAGCCTTCTTGATGTTACCTGTTCTGGTTGTAAGTATTTGTAAATTAATAACTCAATGATTGTCATTGGCTAAATAGAAGAGATATATTTAAAATTTCCCCTCATTATAGTTATTTTTATATACACCAATATTTTGCTAACAAAGGATGAAAGAGAACTTCATACATATCTCTTCATTATCTCCTCTCGTTCCTTCTTGTCCTCCAGGGAGCTGATGGAGAGGTCAGAGATGGTGACTGCTGCTGAGGCTGTGAGAGTGACCAGCAACACCAGGTATCCCTCTCCCTCCTCTAGCGGGACCTCCAACTTGTGAGTTTGCTCTTTACTCAGGGTTGACAGGTCAATCTGGCACCTAGAAACACACATTCTTTATCAGCATGTGTTTTTTCTCACATCAAACGAGCACATTGGCCCACTTGCATGCAAAAGGACAAAAACCCAAGTAAGCAGAAACTCTTGCCCAGCTTCTGAAAAAAATTCTTAATTTCTCTTCAGCTTTAACCCATGCCACTTCTTGTTTTTTTAGACCATCACAAACAGTTTTGAAGTGAAAAATCAAATTAATAAAAATGTAAAGACACTAGAGACAAGATTAGCTAATTTTCCTTACTCAAATGCAATCAAAGAAAATTTTTAAAAATCCAGCTCAGATGCAAATTTTACTTTTAATTACACCTCTTGTATAGATACAAAATGTAAGTTTTCACGTGAACAGTTTTTACCTAACAACAGTAGAAACCCTTTCTTAAAAAATAAAATTCTATGTGGACTTAATTGTGATGGCATAAAGATGACTAAGCACAGAAAAACTCAACCTATGCACCTCCTGAAAGGTTCAGCTCTAATGCAGTAAGCTCTGTGTTTGCCAAATCCTCATGCTGGCACCCAGGGTAAAATTTGATGCTACAACCCCTTGTACAATAAAACGTCTCAGGCTGTAATGAGCAGGGACTACATATAACTGCGCAGAGTGTGTGCAGAGTGGCTGATGCAAATTTACCCTGCTTGATCCCCTCCCAAATAACTCTGGCCATACCATACACTGAACTAATGAAGAATGATTCCATATGTGCTAGACAACATAAATAGCTTTGCAACATCTTTAGAAATACAAGGCAAAGCATGGAAGGAAAAAGAGTATCTCCGCTACCCAGGAGTTGACTATAACCTTTTAAATAAAACAATAGTATCTTAGTGTTGATTGGTTTGTGCACAGCTCAGATGTTTTAGTACTTTAATTTGTACAATATTTCAACTCTCCTAGACTGCACATCTGAGCATATACAGAAATGCAATGCTGTGTCAAATGTAATGCCAGCTTGCACTGGACAGGAATTTCTGTGAAAAAACACTATTCTGAATACTTATAGCATCCCAAAATGACCTTTGCTAACTTTTTGCTCTAAATAAAAACACCAATAATACTGAAATAAAACAAATTTATATATTCTATGTATTGGTTAGCCACTGTATACTCTACTTTCAACAGCGCATATTTAATGTGACAAGTACATGTACTATATGCCACTAATTCACTAAACTAAACATCTAGCAAACTCTTCATAAAATGTCAATTGATTTTGAGGAAAGACAATGTGGTCGCTGCAGGGCCAATAAACTGAGAAAAAGGGGGCAGACATGAAAATATAGCCATTTAAGGAGAGGAAATAGCCAATTATGAGAATAAATGCAGCCTCATAAAATGAGCATTGTGCTATCACAGGTAGATCAGATTTACTACAGGAAAACTGTTTTTTGTTTTTCTTAAGACATTTACTGCCTGTTGTGCAATTCACTTAACTAGTGCAAAGCCTATACAGTAACAAGGTTCAATTATCTTACAATGAAAAAACTCTAACTCATGTAGACAGACACTGAGCTTTATGCTTCTATTTTATTTTGAACTCTTTGTATGATAGGGAGTGAGAAATCAACTTAGCAATAGTAAGGAAAAATAAAGCTGTTGCTATCAGCGCAGGCTGAGAGTCAATACAAACTTCATACACGTACATAAACAGTCAAATTCTTATTTAGGATGCAGTGAGGAATTTAAAGCCCTCCTTAAGACAACAAATATTGTAACCAAGCATTCAAAGCTTGATTAGTAGGTTAAAATACCCTTGGTATTAAATATTCTTCAATAATTTATTTCAAAAGAGATACCCCTCTAAAATAGGACTCAGCAACAATATTGAGCCTTCAATCAATAAACATTTAAAGAACCAGTCTAAACTCTCTCAAAATCAGTAAAAGGATCAGAAAGCCATTATGATAGTAATGGCTAGATAGACTAGTAATGATAGACTATTAATGCAGAAATAATCCACCCCTTACTCAAAAATAGGCAACAAAAGCTACCCCACATATATCCATCAGAAAAAAAGCAATGAGTGTAAAATTACAAGGTCTACACCATGGCTACTAGATCAAATTTCTTCAATTCTTGAAGCTACAATATTTTAACTACATGAGTAGTCAATTTCCTTTATTTAGACTAAAAGAAGCAACTGACAATTTGATTTTACTTGTGCACTTTCCTACATCAATGAAATATTCCTAATAGCACCACATCTAGAACAGATTACCTGAGAAATATCTATCACCTGCCTGATAAATATTTATGAACAGGCCATAGCCAGCTTGTTATTTCCTAAAATCATACAAAGGTAGGAAGTGATCTGAAAATTTTTTTTCCAGTAAAAGCCTTAACCATTTTCAAGGAAAATTATTCTCTCAAGGACTCTCAGAAAATTTGATCAAAATATAGTTATTTCATTAAAGACTGTCACCTTTGTGCTTTACAGAAGTCCAGGTTAAGAGCATCTTTATGCACACATGGTCAGGTGAAAGCAGATTTCTCACCCTATGCCAGGTGCTCTGCCCTGGCCGTGCAGGAGATGCAGCTTACATGTGCCTATCTTGAAAGCGCTGAGGCTCAAGGAGCAACCAGCACAAAGGAAATGTATTTACAGCACATGCACTTCAGTAAAATGGTAAGACTTTCGAACCTACAGACACTGTAGGAAAAATTGCAATTTTTTCCATTAGTAATTGACTTTTTTCATAATAAAAAATCAACTTAATTTGATCTCATGCCTAATTAGCCTTTAAAAAATAATAATTTTTTGCTCTTCTCCTCTGTCCTGACTATATCTTTGTATGGGAGCAAGAATAGTGAAGGAATCTGGTTTTTTTGAGGTGTTACCTAAACATTAACTCTATCCTAGAACAATTTTGACAGACTCCAATAAGAAAACCACAAAACTCCTTTTTGTGCTACATTTCCTTAGAAGGACTAAAGCTACCAAAAATAAGCACCTGTTTGGAAAATATCTGTTTTCCAAATATAAGTATCTTTAAAAAGCCCAAGCTGACAATGTCCCTTTATATTTTACTGAAATTACATTCAAGTTTTTCAAATTACATTTCAAGCTTTAAAGCTTTAGCAATGCTGACTTTCATATCAGTTAAGATGTTCTCTAAAAAGACATTTGTTTCCTACAACTATGTCTCCATGGAGGACAAAGATGCTGTGAGGATCAAGGCGAACTTGTGTTACCAGAAAGTAGTGCAGAATGAAAGAGAAATTTTTGTCCCGTTTTCTTAAATTGAGGACCATGAAAAATTACCACCATTTTGAGAAGGCCATAAGCTGCATATTATTAACAACTGTCACACTGAGAACATGAGAAAATAGTAACTTTGTACAATCCTGTTTCTCAAGGAATTATTATTTGCATGCTGCTGGTAAAGGCAAAGACGCTTTCCACCTGTAATGAGATCAGCCTGAAGAATTACTGACAAAAAATTGCTGTTAACTCCACAGACAAGATTTCCAAGCATGACTATAAATCATGTTGCAGGTAACTGTAGTTTTTAGAGCAGTGTGAGTTTTTCTCTATCTTCCACGCTCTATGTCCCCTTCAGTGCACGCGAGTTTCAGCACTTCAAGTGGTGGGCAGGAGCACTGGAACAATTTCCGTGGCTGGCTAGCCTTTCAGAAAGAGACATAGCAGGATGTATCCCACCTATCAGTTCAGCATGTGAACACAACTAGGCACCATGTGTAGCTGGATTTTCAGGTCTTGAGAGATCAGAAGGGAGAAAAACCACAAAAGTGCATCAAGCTCATGTGCTAAAGTTATCACAGATGAATTGCTCAAAAACAGGGTACAGCTCCCATGGAGGAAGATTTGAAGGTTCAAGGGGAATCTACCACTTGTCTGAAACTGTGTTCAGTGTGTTAATCACACAAAATTTTAGAAATACATTTCAGATTTATTTTTAATTTGAATATATCTGGCCTTTGGTTCTTTTTATGCCTTTCCTTACCAGTTGAAAAACCCTTTAGTGTTTCATGTTTTCTTCTAGTGAAGGAACTCATACACTATAATCATATCTCTTCTTGATCTTCCTTTTGATATGCTAAACACCTTCAGCTCCCTATACATTTCCTAGGAACATATCTCCTACAGCCCTCAAATGACTTTTTGTAACTTTTCTGATCCAGTGAAATTCTCCTGCATCCTTTTTAAAGTGTGGAAGGCAGAACTATATGTAGTATTTTATTATCAGCATGTCTAACAGGTAAAAATCACCTCCCTTCTTTAGTTCTAACAGAACCTGGAATGTAAGACTGTGTTGGCACCCTGGTGAAATATTCTTGCTAATGAATGAATTACAAAGGTAGCGACATGACATAGAAGGCCTCTTAAAAGCCAGGTGGCCAGGCAAGTGAGAGACAGCAGATAGTGAGATCGTTTTCTCACATGACAAAATAAAGCATAAAAGAGGAACTGGCACAATCCTAAGTGATAGGGACAGAAAAGCACCACTTGGCTACAAACCAGACAACTTAATTACCATCATGACTTGTTCAGGAACACAGATTTTTAACTCCACTGTGATCCAGTTCTATGCTGCTCCAAAGGATGCCAAGGAGAGGAAACTGTGTGATTCCACAATTAGAACTGAGCTGGACATACATCAGAAGCAGCAAGGCATGAACTGCTACAATTTGTGAGACTCCATATCCTTTATGAAGAGATTAAAATGTTCCAGTAAAACCAAGAAACAAAAGGAGAGGGAAAATTTTGCAAAGCACTAGCAGAAAATGACACATCTCAGAAACACTGAGTGTTGACTGCAGTAATGTGAATTTCTTGGAAGAATCGGAGCGTGACATTTTTAACTGTAAAGATAATGAGAAAGAAATTAAATTATGGACTCCATGTGATGCTTGTGGTAAATGGTTGATAGAGGCATTAGATTGAAAACCAGGGAAGCTCCCAGAGGGGTAGGAAACAGTAACTCAGCTAAGTAGGACACTGACTAAGGACAAGAGTGGTGCTT